CTGTTTCTTGATCCCATGTTTTTTATTAATCAGATTGGATAAACCCTAATTTTCTCTTTTCTTCGGTTTGGATGTTAAGTTCTTTGGACCAGATAGGATTAAAGCAGTGAGAAAGATGATAATGGCGGTTACAACAGAGCAAAGGAAAGCTTCTTTAGACGTCTTGCTTCCTTACCAACGTTCAGATTTCGAAGGGATCTTCCGCGCAATGGATGGTAAATGTTTTGGATCTTTCTAAAATGTATCTTTGAGTCAGAAATTTACAAACTTTCATCCTTTTTTTTTCTAGGTTTACCAGTAACAATCCGTTTGTTAGACCCTCCACTTCACGAGTTTCTCCCGGAAGGTGATTTGGACAACATAGTACACGAGTTAGCTGCAGAAACAGGAATGAAAGAAGATGAAATCTTGTCAAGGATAGAGAAACTCTCTGAAGTGAATCCAATGCTTGGTTTCCGCGGTTGCAGGTTTCTTTCTGCTCTCTTTGCAACTGATTTCAATTGATTTGATTACTATAAAACAATCCGATTGAGCGGTAAATTTGTACGTTATAGGCTTGGAATATCATATCCAGAGCTAACGGAAATGCAAGCACGTGCGATTTTTGAAGCAGCAGCTTCAATGCAAGACCAAGGTGTTACTGTTCTTCCTGAGATTATGGTTCCACTTGTAGGAACTCCTCAGGTAATGAATACATACTACTCTTGAAACATTAATTAAGAAAAGATTAAACATTTTTAACAGAATGGATGATATATAATGACAGGAATTGGGTCATCAAACTGATGTAATCCGCAAAGTTGCACAGAGAGTGTTTGCTGAAACGGGTCATACCATGAGCTACAAGGTTGGGACAATGATTGAGATCCCTCGAGCCGCGCTCATTGCAGATGAAGTAATGTACTAGAAACTTTAAACCATGTTCAAGCGGAATTTACGAAAGTAGTAACCTTTTCTTGGTTTAAAACAGATTGCAAAAGAGGCCGAGTTCTTTTCGTTTGGGACAAACGATTTGACGCAGATGACGTTTGGATATAGTAGAGATGATGTTGCAAAGTTTCTACCGATTTACCTTTCAAAAGGCATTTTACAGAACGACCCTTTCGAGGTATGTAAAACTATATAACTAACAGAGTTTCATTTATACTCTCCAAAACATAAACTTGATAGTCATTGTTTATGTTTGGATCAGGTTCTTGATCAGAAAGGTGTAGGACAATTGATCAAGATGGCGACAGAAAAAGGACGAGCCGCTAGGCCTAGCCTCAAGGTAAGTTTGGTCTATATATCGAATCGAAACGAATCACAAACAGATTTTTGGTAATTTGGGATTGAATGTGAGTTAAAAATATAAACAGGTTGGGATATGTGGAGAACATGGAGGAGATCCATCATCTGTGGCATTCTTTGCTGAAGCAGGACTTGACTATGTCTCTTGTTCTCCTTTCAGGTAAGTTTATCAAATCGCAAACCATAAAACATTTCTCTTTTAAAAACATTTTGATGTAATTTTGGGGATTTTTTGTTGTTGTTGCAGGGTTCCCATTGCAAGGCTAGCAGCTGCTCAAGTTGTTCCATGATGAAAACATTGTGACATTATTCTGTGAATAAAAGTTGATTGTTCAATGAAAATGAACAAAATCAAAGAAAATGGATTTTAACTTTTTGTTTTTGCTTCTAAAAAGAGAAGCTTCATGTGATATCCGAAGGTGTTAATAAGAGAAAGAACATTGTTGGGATGTTTAAAACATGTCCTGAAATAACCATAATACTTGCAAACTTACATTGTTGGGATGTTTACACGCCTAGTGAAAATGTAAGACAGAGCAATGAGATTCTATCACCTAAGGCTGAAAACATCTTCAAACACATTCATAATCATATTAAACCAAAGAAAATCAAAATCAAGTAATCAACTTTTCGTAATCAGCTCCTTCACTTGTAAAACAAAGATATGAAGCTTCTTCCGGTAACTAAGTCATGAACAAGCTCGAAGAACTGACTCCGCTTGATTATATATATTGAAGGGAATGTTCTTGATCTTACCTTCATTCACATCAAGACTTTGTTCCTCTATCAAAAGACGAGTTATTCGTTAAGGAACAAACTGTCCAAAAGGTCAGACAACGAATCTTCGTTTCCATTTTCATCAAAAAAACCATTTTCCGCACTTTCTTTCCTCAACTTCCGCTCTTCAACGATGGATTCTTCTGTACCAGCACAGAAATTCCGTCTTCCTTGTCTAACGGGTCTATCAGCCACTACAAATTTGCTTCCATCTCGGTCACGTTCAGAAAATCCAGCCCAAACTGCAGCAAAACAATGTTTTTTTAAGCAAGCAATACACTACCATCATATCAAATGATCTTGCAGAGTTAATAACCTCCATAATCTTGCTATTTAATAAGTTTTTTTTCTTCAATCTTAAACAGCATAAGCAAAAAAACCGAAAAAAAGAGACAAAATACCTCCAAAATGATGCAAGACAATAGAAGCTGCAACAGTAACATTCAAGGAGGCAGTACCACAACCATACTGAGGAATATATACAAAGAAGTCACATATTTCATATTCCTTTGCAGATAATCCTGTTCCCTACAAACAAACAAAAAACCCAAACTTATCCATTTAGTAATGACTATCAAAATCTCAAATGCTTACCCATTTAGTGAAATAGCAGAGACTACCACCGACAATACCATTAAAGCCAAAACATATTAATCTCTAGAAAATCGTTTAAAGAACCGAGTTTGAATAGCGAGAGGATATGCAGAATAAAGGTAGAGAATTTCACTATCACTCAAATTTCTTGTGTCCTAAATCAACTTTTGAAGTTACTATTAATCAAATTTCACAGACCTAGCAACAATATTGATGTATTGAAAGATTAGGTCTTTTAGATTGCTTATACCTCATTACCCAGAAGAAAAGCTGTGTTTTTTTTGAAAGGATGTTCATTGATTGCAGAAGCTCCATCTGCAATCTCAACTCCACATATATCGCAATCTCTCTCCTCCTATTGAAGTAAAAATCCAAAATTTTGAACAACCCTAATGATTCGGTAACGAGAAGATTCAGTTTTCTCAGATTTTGGGTAATTAAGAAATCAGACCTTGAGGTAAGTTCGAGCATCGGCGAGTGAATGAAAATGGCGGAAACGGATGTGAGAAGCAGAACCATGGCTACCGAAAGCGTTGAAATCTCGGCGACCGACGAGGATTAGCTCCGTTACACCGAAAGCAGTCGCGCTTCGAGCTAATGTTCCGATGTTGTGACGTTTTGCTATGTTGTGAACAACCACGTAGCTCTCAAATCCCACCA